GCTCACACACATCCGGCGGGACCAGAGGGGAAGGGTGGATGCCGGCTGGAACCAGCCAGGGCCCACACCTCCTCAAGGGTATAGCACGCAGAACGGCACACTGTCCCATGCCTGGCTGTGAGGCACAGCCAGCTGCTCCTGGGTAAACCGCAGCGTCACAGCCCTGTGAGCGTGGCCCCCACTGAGCCCCTCGCCTGCTCCTGGTGCCCCCGAGGGAAGTCCCTGGGCAACGTGTGTGAGGGCTAGAGGGAGGGGGAGGGGGAAAGCGCTTGGGCCGGCCCTAGGGCCACCTGAGTTTTGCTGCAAGGATGGTACACTCCCCAGTCACTCTCCTGGTTCTGTCCAGGAGACATCCCACATGATGGGGATCTGAGAGCCCAGACCACGTTTGCCATATGTGCTCCCAGGCACTGTGTGGGGATTCATCTTGCTCCCTGTCAAACACCATTGATTAGCCCAAAGCCTCACAGCCCAAAGCCCACCGACAGGGAGCTCCGCAGGTTAACACAACACAAGCGCCCTTCCACCCCCCAAGGGGCCAGGACCCAGACCGGTGGTTCCAATACATGGAGGAGGACCCTACTCCAGGGGTGGTCCTGTATGCAAACATACAGCACGGGGGAAGTGGGGTAACCGAGTGGGCCCAAGCCACACTACTGTGGTGTCACTTGAGCTCAGGCATGGAGGGCATGAGGTGTGGGGACAGTGGTCGGGCTGCCTGACTGACCCATCCTTTCTTCTGTTCCCTGCAGCGGGACCAAGCAGGAGCGGGGGACCCTCCAGCCTTGTGGCAGTGGCAGCACCCCCAGCCGCCCAAGCGCCAGCGAGACCAACTGCTTCGGTGGAATGTGCAGGCCATCAAACGGGTGGAGGCAGCCATCATGTGCCGGATGGAGGCAGACCTGCACTGGCGCCAGGAGGCCTGGGGCCCCTTCCAGGCCTAGTGTGTGCACATGGCGGATGCCATCTCCGCCCTCACCGTGCACATGGGCCATGCCATTCATTGTGGAATGGCATTGTCCCATGCACCTGCCATCCCTTCCATAGCAATGCCCGTGCCCCCTCCTGCTCCTCCCCCTCCTGCTCCCGCAATTCCCTCTCCTGCTCTCGCAATTCCCCCTCATGCTCCTGCCCCTCATGCCCACCTCCCTGTGCTGGCTGCCCCGACGCGGCCTGACCCCCATGTGCAGGTCCGCCCCCACAGAAGCAGTCTCTGGGGCCACCCCTCCCAGCAGTAGCTCCTCCCTCCCAGTTAAGAGCCTCCTCCCCCCTCCCACCCTACATTTTTCCCATCCAAAATTGTAAATAGAAAGTTCCAAATGTTATGTTCTGTTCCAAAAAAACCTGTGTTGGTTGTTTATTGGGAGATAAGGGGAGGGGAGGAGGGAAGGGAGATGTCAAGAGAGACAGAGGCGACCCTACTGTGGGCCTGGGAGAACATCTCCGTCAGGGCCTCCCGGATACGCACCCCATCACGGTGCACCTGGCGGATGGCAGCTGTGCGGGGCTGTTGAAAGGCCTGGCCCTCACCTGCCATCCATGCCGGGGGGGAAGGCCTCCCCACTCCGCTCCACAATGTTGTGGAGCGCACAGCACGTGACCACTACCTCGGGGACATTTGGCTCACCCATCTCCAGATGGGTGAGCAAACAGCCACAGAGTTTGCTTCAGCAAACAGCATAGAGTGCAGGGAGATGGTAGCTAGGGCCAGCCTGTGTGCCAGGGAGGGGGTGGAACAGGGTGTAGGGAGAGGGTAGTTGGGTCTGAGGGCAGGCAGGGGTGTAGCTCAGAATGAAGGGAGAGAGGTATTTGAGATCCTATGCAGGCAAGGGAGTTAGTTGGGGCTGTGTGCAAGGAAGGGATAGCTCAGGGAGTGTGTGTGTGGGGTGTCTCTGGAATCCTGTGCAGGCAGGAGATAGCTCAGGGTACTGGGAAGGGGCTAGCTGGGTCAGTGTGCAGGAAGGGGGTAGCTCAGGACAGAGGGAGGATATAGGGAGAATAATATTAGGGGTTGTGTGCTGGGAAGGCCGTCTTGTGGTCTCTGTTCCAGCGGCAGGGCAATGTCTTCCCACCAGGGTGCCTCTTACCAGTTTGATCTGTGGGAGCAAAGGGGGCTGGGAGCTGAGAAGCTGCTTTAACTCAGGGCACCAGCAGGAGACATGTGAATGGTGTCATGCCCACTTCATGGCACCAGCCAGAGCCACAGCTCTTCTGCACTGTCTGACTCTGGATTCCCTTCAACCTGGCTTAGGGCCAGGGGGCGGAGATGTGCTGGTGAGGGGAGGTGTGGAGTTGCCCGAGTTGACCGCTGTGCTCTTGCACTGTAGTTTGTGGAGGCAATGCCCTCCATGTCCCCATCTCTGCGGATGGTCACAGAGCTTCTGCCCCAGGGAGAGCTCCTGACTTAGGGATTCAGACCGGTGCTCCCCAGCTGCTGTCTCATGAAGTGCAGCAGAGGCTTGGGCTCTGAATTTCCACTGTGGGGCCCCTCTGGTCCCCTTGAATGGGCTCGTGGACCTCCAGACATAGAAGGAATAAGCAACTACTTCTGCAAACTAAACAGGCATAACAGGACAGAGATTAAAAAGAAAACATGGGGGACTGGATTATGCCTCGGTTGTGCCCCTATGTGAAAATGCACTGCTTGGCAGCAGCTCCCTGAGAGAGGCGGAATTCCTCCAGGAATGCTGGGGATGTGTGGGTCAGAGTGGCCCCTGCTATGCTATTTCTAGACTTCAAAGTGAATTCCATTTGTGTGGGTTAGCTCTGTTGGGCAGTGAGGAGGAGATGGGTTCTAGCTCTTGTTTCCCTGAATGCTGAGCACTAGGATGCCTTGTGCCCTGCTCACACCTTTGTCACATGTACTGGACCAAACACTGTCTGGCCACAGTAGTCACAAGTCTCAGATTCAAACCATTTCTGGAAACAGAAAAACCACGTAAATGCTTGCAGTGAGATGAGAATCAGGTAAGTCTTATTTATAACTGCATGGTGACAGTGTACTTCCTAGTAGCTAAAGCCTCATTTCCTGCATTAGACCTAAGAGGATACAATTAAAGTAATACTGTGTTTAATCTCATATTGATTACATATTTGCTACTCACAGCTACCAAATGTCCTACAGCAGGAAGGTTCTTAACTTGAGGGTCATTACAATACTCTCCATTAGCCATTATAATTCCCCAATTAATCCTACTTGAACTGAATGATTAAAATTAATTAATGTAAGCAAGTGATTACCTGTTAAAGGGAAACTGCACTAATCTAAGATCCCAAATCATAAGCGACTGTAAGTGCAATTAAAAAACAATAAAGGCCACCACCACTTGACTTTATATATTACAATGTATATTTAAAAACTATTATTTAAATAATAGGCCAAGTTCTGTACTTCCCCTGCAGGAAGGAAATGAGGGAATCACAGACACTGAAAACATTACACAAGAGCTAAATTCTGTAGAGCAGTGTCGAGGTTATCAAACTAGTTGAGAGTTTGCAGTCCAAGCACTGCAGTGTTAACTGTTGTGTTTTTAAATATGATGATCTATATTTGTAATTGTCTAGTTTGTATGTGCACCCTGTGTTATGATATTGGAACTTAAATATACTATATTTTGCAGCTCACCTTAGACAGAATTTAGGGACCCATTTCACACACATTACTTAGAAAATGGACCCCAGGCTCTAACCATTCAGTAAAGAGTCCATGGTTCATTTCCTCAAGGTTTATTTACAGATGCAAGTTGTACCACTTTAACTGTAGTGGTTTAGATAAACCAGTACAACTCCTCTTGAGTCAATGAAGTTATACTCATATAGCTAATTCCCAGACAGGAAAGGGGATAATCTATAGCAGCATAAAGCATTTTGATACCAGCATAACTGCATATGCAGTAGGAGGTGTTCCGGTATATTATCTTTATTTAAAAAAATTATCACCCTAATTGAAATAATTGTGCTGCTAGAACTTTCAAGTGTAGATCAGATTTAAGTAGTCCTCCACTCCATCCTCATGCTCTCCTCTTCTTCCTGCCTGTCCCTTTAGGCAGCACAAGCATTCTGCTCGATCTGTGTCTTCTGGAGATTCTGGTGTGTTTCTTCTCACCTTGTGCCTGCTCTTTTCTATGGATGATGGGTTGCAAATCCTGTCCCGCTGTCCCCAACATGGACATTGGAATTATCAGATGAGGGCAATAATCTATATAGTCCAGCATCTTATTTCTGACAGGCTGTGTCTAGACTGCAGGGTTTTTTCGAAAAAATTAGCCTTTTTTTCGAAAGAACTTCACCTGCATCTAGACTACAGCCACGTTCTTTCGAAATTAAATTGAAAGAATGCAGCTTTTCTTTCGACGGCGGTACTCCTCATTTCACGAGGAAGAATGCCTTTTTTCGAAAGTGCTCTTTCGAAAAAAGGTTTCTTGAATGCAAACAGGGCTTTTTCGAAAGAGAGCATCCAGACTGCCTGGGTGCTCTCTTTCAAAAAAGCGGCTTGCTTTTTTGAAAGTACTGCTTGCAGTCTAGACGCTATTTTTTGAAAGAGGCTTTTTCGAAAGCATCTTTTGAAAAAGCCTCTTTCGAAAGAGGCTTGCAGTTTAGACATAGCCACAGTGAGTAATCCCAGATGCCTTAGAGTAGGGTGTTGGATGAGGACTCAGGAGGCATGGATTCCATTCCCAGTTCTGCTGCTGGCCTTGGGCAAATCTGTGCCTCCATTTCCCTGTCTGTAAAATGGGGATAATGATACTGCTCTCCTTTGTAAAATGCTTTCAGATCTGTAGATCTATAAGAGCTAGATGTTGTTAATAGATAAGTATGGAAAAATTCACCCACAAAGGAAGATTCCGTCTTAGCTTTTTGTGGATATAATTGTCATTGAAGGCATTTTTCATCTTGCTGTTAAAGCTGTGGACCTCACTGGCCACCAAAACCAAATGCAAAGTAATTTTCTGTCCTGGTGCAAAGTATTGTTTACTAATTCCCATTATCTTTCCCTGTAGGGCTGGCCTTTGCTGTTTTGTCTTCAGTCCATCCAGTGTTTGGCTTATATGGCTCTCTTTTTCCTGTCATCATTTATGCTGTGTTTGGAATGGGACGCCATGTTGCAACTGGTAGGTGTCTGGAAACATTTAGGCTTCCATCCTGTAAGTTGCTGAGCATGTTCTGTGGAATGAGGTACTTCCTCAACAACTGATGATTTCAGTGCAAGTTGAAGGTATTATTTGTCATAGGATCAAACATACTGTGGGGGAGAGAGGGAGGAAAGTGTCTTAAAACAGATCAATCAACTTGAATTTCCATTGTGCCCTTTCGGTACAGCTACATCTTTTTCTGCATAAGAAAAGTGTTTTCAAGGAAAAAAAAAACCTTGTTAAGATTATACTGGACCCATTCCTACCACTATAATTGAATACTGCAGCCATACTTTCTTTATAAATACACTTTATAAATACATATATAGGGGCTTATGCACTTCACTGTACAAATTTGCTTTAAGCTAAAACTTTAGCAGACAGGAGCTCAGCTAAAGAGAGCGGTTTTACTATAAACAGGAAAATATTGGCTGTTCCTAAACTATGGAAAAACCTCATTATTTTTCACATTGCTAAAACAAACCCCAGTACTTCTCTCAAACTCCCCTCCCCCACCAAAAACCCATTCCAAATACTTTAGCAAAATTGGGTTTACTTCTGACAGCTGTGTCTATTGAACTGAAGGGTGTAGATGCCTAACACTCCCACTAAGAGAAGCTAAAGAATCATTGAGTCCCGTAGCTGCCATGCTAGTGGCCTCTCCAGCACTGCTTTGTGCAGAGGAACTGAGGAAATCAATTATATTCATTAGATCAGACCATGAAGACCACTGCTTTGTGGCCTCCCAGTGATCCTTGATGACCAGAGGAAGTATAGGGACAGCCACTTGGTCCCCATGGGAGAGTACAATGAGCCTGATTGCAGGGCAGTCGCCCCTTCTGCAGTCAACAGAAGATGAAATATAAAAGAGGTATCCTGCACATTGGGGGAAAGGGAGTGGCTGTGGGAGCCTTCGGAGTGGGGAGGAGATGGTTCTTGGAAATTTGGAACCATGTGCAACCACACACAAAGCACATCCTGCTGGGCTCACATAGCTCTCCTGCATACATCTCCCCTCTGGCTAATATATTTTCTAAGACGCAAACACTGTCTTTTGAGTAACTACATAGTTTTGAAATTGAAACATGTGCCAAAACCTGTGTTTAGTAATACTGTTAACAGCTCCATAGGAGACATGTGGTCTGCTGGGAAACCAGTATACATTCCAAAATACATAGAATGTGTATCCCAACGTATGTATGTTATATTGTCAAGCCTCCAGAAAATTTACAGCAAAGGGGGCATGAATCCTGTGTTGAGGTCCTTGGGTTTTGTTGCTCTGATGTTGCAAACTAGAAAATCTGCAGAAGCTTATTTTTCAAAAAAGTTGTTTTAATCCATGAACTATTCACATAAATAACACCATTGTTACAGTATGCCTAGTGTTACGCATTCTAATATTAAATTCTGTTTTTGTAAAGCTGTCCTCCACCCACATATTGTTAAGGAAGAAGCTGGAGATTTTCATCTTGGGGGATTTTGATACCCGGGGAGGCATTTTCTGAGCATGGGACAAACACTTTAGCTGGCTGCTGCTTCTAAAGTGATCAGTATGCTCAGTTCACAGGAAAGTAAGAAACTGTTTTTAAAAAATGAAAGTTTAGATTTTGGAAAAAAATTCGGTGGCAGGAGCTAGAGTAAAGGTGGGTTACTTCATAGCCCGGTAGTTCCCGTATTTGCCATATCTTGTTAGTATTTCCCCTTTTCATTAAAAAGTGAAAACGAGGCCAACTGTTTCAAAATAGAGTGTTTACACATTTTTCTATAAACAGCTGATTTTTAAACTAAAGCTCATTAAAGGAACAAAGTAACTCACTCATCTTACACAGCACCCTTAATATGTAGAAAAATATCTAAGTGTAATAAACTGTTGTTATGTAGTATGAAGGTCATGAAATGGACAAAGGGCTGGATTTCAGGACTGACACAGCACCTCAGGCATAACATAGAGCAAATGTCATTCGGGTCAGATTTGTGGCGTATACTCAGGACTCTGTATCCTACAGGTCTGTGGCTTTGGATTTATTGTAGAATCCACTTTTTGGACTCCAGATCTTGCCACAGAATCACATTCCAAAATTTAAGGTTTCAGACAGAAGCACTTCTGTCCTTTGTTGTCCGGAAGAAAATATAATATAAATGTAAACACAATGTATTTCCCTGTTATTCATTTTAGCAGATGTATGCCACCACTGTACATATTTCATAATCCCAGAGGCCCTGGTGCTAAAAGGTGCTGCAGATTCATTGCTTAAAGTTAAGGATGCTTAATTCTCATCCCAAATAAGGATGCTTTCCTGAATCATGGCTAAACTTTCTACTCCAGCTTCCCAAATGCCAGTACCTCATATAGCCTTTACTCAAAAATGACATCTCCTTCCCCTCTAATAACTTCTGTGAAGCCAGTGGGACTGAGAAAGTAAAGAATGCAGGATTGGGACCTGTTTTAGTCAGACTTTTTGCATGAGAAGTAGAGTGCATCTGTAGCCTGGTCCTGTAAACATTTGCTTGTTTGACTAATTCTTACTCATAAATAGTCCCCCACTCAGGCTGGTATTGTGGTAAAGATTACTCATCTAAGCAACAAATTGCTAGACTTCAACCTTTATCCTGGCTGCTTTATCCTCTATCTGAATGCAGGAGTTTAATGTATTTTGGATACCACAATTAATTATACAGCAGTTAGTGACAGTATCATAAATAGAAATGTTGGTTTCAGGAGGAATTAATATGTGCAAAAACTTTCTTCAAACAGGATGCTGTTCAAAGCTTTCCATGATGGTTTGGTGTATTTTATAAATTGAATTATCTTTCTTTACCTGAATGTCATACAGAATTTCAAAAGTACCTCAACACAGCCTTTGTGTGTACATCACAGGCTTGTGTATTTTTAAGCACCATTATCTATGGGCATACAGAAAAGAGCTTACACATAAAAAAAATTTGTTCTTTGTTTTTTGCTCATATGTCATCTTACGAATGGAAAATTGCACCCACAAATGAAAAAACACACCACTGAGCATGCAACATTTCACATTCATAGAGAGAGGCTTTGTGACTCTAACAAAGTATCAAGCTACTTATTGGTAACTGATATGTGACTTTTCTTTTACAGGAACTTTTGCTTTAACTTCCTTGATATCTGCCAATGCTGTTGAGCGTCTTGTTCCTCCATTAAGCAACAATTTTACTACAAGCAATAATTCAGGAGTCTTGGGTTTATCAGAATTTGAAATGCAGAGGATTGGAGTTGCTGCAGCAGTTTCATTTTTAGGAGGAATTATTCAAGTAGGTAGTCTTACTAGTTAATGAACATTTATAGTAGCTAAGGCTTTATATCTTTTAGCGCTTTGACTTTAGTGATGAAAAATATGCCAGTTTTATTTCATAAGAAGTCCTGCTCTTTGAACTTTGGCCAGTTGGCTTTTAAGCAGGGCTCTTCCATTTTTTTGTTTCTTACAAATTTGGCTCTATATTTGTCCAGTGCTTTGGAGTCTGCACAATATGATTTGACTTTTGAGAGTTCAAAAAAAATTATTTGTAAAATAAAAGGACATCTTGCTTAAAATAAAGTCGATCCTGTGGCATTTTACATTTATTTTTGCCAGAAATAAGTGATTCCTGCTTTTTTCAGTGATGGCAAAGCCAGGTCTTTTCCCATTTTATGTCAAGACAAACAATCAGTTCTTAATTATGCTTGTTCCATGAAAGGACAAATCCTTCTCCCAATAAAGTAAATGAGAGTTTTGCATATGACTTCACTAGAACCAAGAACAGAAGCTAACAAGTTCATCCCCTGCTATTTTTACTTTTATTTCCATCAGGCAGATATTCACAACAACTTTATTATTTATTTATTTTATTTAATAAATACTTAGCACTCACTGACATAGGAATTGCCATATGTATTCTGCCTTTGACAGTTACCAGTACCAGACTTTTCAGGGTGTGACTGGGCATCTTCCCTGTACTGGCTCATTAAGGGTTAAAACCCAGTCCTGGGAAGGGGCTGGAGCAGTGGATCTGTGGAGGCAGCAGCTGTGGCCAGTATGAGCCAATTACGGCCCAGTTTAGCACTGTATAAATAAAGGCTCTTGGAGGAGTGGAGACAGACACACTCTTGTTCTGGCTGGAGAGCAGGAGGGTACTGGCTGCCTGGGAAGCTGAAGGCTTCCTGTGACAGGGCAGTACTGGGAAGAAGCAGGCAGAGCTGGGGAGCTCAGGCCTGACCTCGCTCCCAGGCTGCAGGACCTCAAACAAGGCCCGAGTGTACTCAGGCTGCAGAGAAGCAGCAAGGGTAGAAAAAGGCAGTAGGTCTGCACCCCCTTGCCAATGATGAGTGGCCGTTTCGGACTGCAGTTTTTCCCTGAGGCAAGGGGCTAGATGAAGACTGACAGTGGGTCACTGAGGCAAGGAGGGCATAGGGGGTTGTGGGTTCCCAAAGGGGGAGGACCCCAGAGTGCAGAAACATAGGGAGACACTAGCCAGAAGGGGGTGCTCCAGCACCAAGAAACTAATTCCCAGAGTGACCACCAGGAGGCATCCCGATGGTGAGTCACACCGCGTTACACAGGGGAAGGTGTAAGTGAGGGCTGCCATTTTGTCTGATACACCCAAGGTTTGTACTGGGGAACAGCACAGCTAAAAGCATGAGCTGCTATAGCTTTTATTCATATTTTTTGTGTATTGGCACAGCAGCTCTGTTCTACACATTAGGGCTATGTCCACACTACAGATTTCTTGTGCAAGAACTGTTTTGCACAAAAGGTCTTGTGCAAGAGTGTGTCCACACTGCCATGTGCTTTTGCACAAGAGCATCCATGGTAGTGTGCACGCTCTCTTGCACAAGAAAGCTCTAATGGTCATTTTAGCCATAGGGGTTTCTTGCGGAAGAGGGCTTATTCCTCATGGGGAGAGGA